GAAAAAAAACTTAAATTCCCTTTACCCAAGGATACTTCGTAGCAAGTTTGGTTGAAATTCGTCCAGTGATTCTTGAGAAGAAGTTGAAAATGTGAAAAGTTTACAACAACGACGACGACAACACGACAGACAAGAAACAATCAGAAAAGTTCACTTGAGCCCTCGGTTTCAGACACCACTCTAGGCTTGGGCCAATACCAACAATTGGGACTGATACCAGGGCCGAGATCAAAACAGGAATGTGATATTCTAAATCTCTGTAACTCCTCAGAATTTACCAGATCAATCTTCTTCATTATAATCACATCTGCTAGTACCACTTAGAAAAATTTAATAAGTTTTTAAATTTTGATAAATAATGTTTCCGTTTTTTTTTTTTCTTGTGAAATACTTTAGAAAACTGGAATCTCTAAGAACAGTGAAATTAATTTTGATGTCCATTATTTGTTTTTTCAAAATAAAATATAAGAAGTATATTACAAATGTATATTACCAATGTCTTGTACATCGGTGTTAAAGGATTTTACCTCAATCTTAATTATAAACAATTCTTCAATGAGTTTGACAACACCTTAGTTCCTGTATAATTACCTTGTGGCCTAATTTGTAAAACCATCTTGCTTAATTTCTTGTAGATATTGAAATAAGAAAGAACAGGATGTGTTTGTGAAACACTGATGCCCCCGCATGGAAACACATAGCGAAGGTTAAGCTTTCTCAAATGCAGATCAAATATGTTGGTACCAAAAGTAAGACCTTTATAGAAGAAAAACAAATATGAAATAATAAACCTAGCTCCACCTGTTCAAATGTTATGACCAAAGATATCATTTTTAAAGATAAAACAAATTCCGAGATCAAGGTCAAGGGGTCAAGGTTGTTGGTTTATAAATAAAGGCCTCTCTCAAAGATTACATATAGGAAGTACGAAAGTGCTGGCCCTTACCATTCAAAAGTTATGGTCAAGGTTAACGTTTGTAAAAGTAGGTCAAACTTTAAGGTCAAGGAAAAAGGGTCAAAGTTGTTGATATTTAATAAAAGGTCTTGTAAAAGGGATTAAATATGTGAAGTATTAAAATTCTAGTCCTTACTGTTCAAAAGTTATGACCAAGGTTAATGTTTGTAAAAAGTAGGTCAAACTCCAAGGTCAAGAACAAAGGGTCAAGCTTTTAATATACAATGAAAGGTCTTCTCACAAGGATTACACATGTGAAGTATGAAAGCCCTACCCCTTACCTTTCAAAAGTTATAGCCAAGGTTAAAGTATTTTTGTAAGTACGGAAATGTTCAAAGTCAATATCAAAAATCGAAATTGTCACAAAGAATTTAGATTTGAAATATGAAATTCCTAGTTACTATCGTTTAAAAATTACGGCCAAATTGAAAGTTTGCATTTTTTTTTTTGGTGTGTTAAAAAGGGGCAAATTTCAAGGTCAAGGTAAAAGAGTCTAGGTTCTTGATATCAATAAAAGGTTTTGTGAAAAGGATTAAATATGTTAAGCATGAAAGCCCTAGTTCTAACCCTACAAAAATTATGTTCAAGGTTGTTTTTGAAAAGTAGGTCAAACTCCAAGGTCAAGGTCAAAGTTCTTAGTATCCAATAATGCGTCTTCTTACAAGGATTACATATGTGAAGTATGAGATTCCTAGCTCTTACCAAGCAAAAGTTATGGCAAAGGTTAAAGTTTTTTTCATAAGTACGGAAATCTCTAAGGTCAAGGTCAAAAGGTCAAAGTTGTTGGTATTGAATGAAAGGTCTTGCCATAAAAAAAGACATATGAAGTTTAAAAGTCCTGGTTTCTACTGTTCAAAAGATATGGCCAAAGTAAAAGAATTTTTGTGTAAAAGTGGGTCAAAGTCCAAGGTCAAGAAGTCAAATTTGGTGGTACTCAAACATAGGTCTTGTCACAAGGAATATACATGTGAAATATGAAAGTCATCGCTCCACTGTATTCACAGTTATGGGCAAGGTTAAAGTTTTTGCGGACAAACAGACAGACAGAGAGATAGAAAGACAGACAGACATAAAGACAGCTAGACAGACCGACCCGACAGAGAGACAGACAGACAGACAGACGGAAGACACGACAAAACAATATATCCCCGAAACTTCGTTTACGGGGGGGGGGGGGGGCATAAAAATGTATATATTTGCCACATGAGCTGTATAGGTACATATTACTTTTAATATGAATGAGTATTTTTTAATTAGCTTCTTTAAAAAAAAATAAAGTGCTATACTATGTCTCTTTATTTGTGTTACTATATAACTTAATTTAAATAAATTAAATTACAAAAAGATTAAAACTTGGTTTTACTACGATGCATAGTGAAATCAAAGCTCATTGGAAAGGTCAAGGTCAAAGAAATTGATTTCGTTGAAGAATTTTTATCAAAGTATGTATATAGTGCATAAACTTATATAAAATCTCATGAATTATTTTTTTTAACTGAGCTAAAGCCATTTTAAGAAAAGTAGATCAAAGATCAAAATATTTTGAGTCGGTTCAATAGCACTCATAAGTTTATTAATTATCAGCAAATAAAGTTTCATAAAAATTTGAATGTGTCTTTAAACTAAGATGAAAACAAATTTGAAAAAGTGTCAAGGTCAAAAGAAAAACAAGATGCGATTGTGAAACACTATGCACCCGGCGGCAACTAAGTTCGAAAAAGCAATTTTTAGCATATATGTCACTGTTAAGGTCACACGATCATCGTCTTGATGTCATTTGAAAGCACTTAATTAGTAGAGTATGCATACCAAATATGAAGTCTATATCTCCTATGGTTCAAAAGTAATGTCAAAAGTTCGAAAAATCTATTTTTAGCATATAGGTCACAGTCAAGGTCACAAAGTCATTTACCTTATAGACATTTGAAAGAACTTATTTGGTGGAGAATGCATACCAAATATTAAGTTTCTATCTCCAATGGTTAAAAATAATGGCGAAAGTTCGAAAAAGCTATTTTTAGCATATAGGTCACAGTCAACGTCATTGATCTTGGTGTCCTTTGAAAGAGCTGATTTATCAGAGTATGCATAGTAGATATGAAGACTCTATCTCCTATGGTTCATAAGTAATGGCAATTTTTTTTTAAAAACTTTTTAGCATATAGGTCACAGTCAAGGTCACAAGGTCATTGACCTTGATGTCAGTTGAAAGTGCTTAATTAGTGGAGTATGTATACCAAATATGGAGTCTCTATTTCTCACGATTCAAAAGTTATGGCGAAGTTTAAAGTTGATAACAGACAGACAAACAGAAAAACAGACAGACAGGACAAAAACAATATACGCCCAGAATCTATTGATTCGGGCGCATAAAAAAAACAGGGTCAGAATGTAAATGTATTGCAATATCTTTCATTAAGATACAATGTGTAACACTATAAAGTTTGATAAAATATCTTGGACTGTTTCATTGGAACTCAGCTTTAAAACTAGTAATCGTTAGGTTAGGTCAAAAGGAAAATCAATACCATAGAACGATTGAATTGACTAGCAATGTTGCAACCACTATTGAAATAACGACCACTATTGAAATAATTATATCAATTGTGGTTGGGAGTGCATTTCAATAGCAAACATAGTTAGTAACCACTATTGAAATACAACCATTATTGAAATAATTATATCAATAGTGGTTGAGAGTGGATTTCAACAGCCACTATTGAAATAATTATATCAACAGTTAGTGAGAGTGCATTTCAATATAATAACCATAGGTTACAACCTCTATTGAGATACGAGCACTACTGAAATAATTATTCAAAAGTGGATGAGAGTGCATTTCAATATGGTAACCATAGGTTTCAACCACTATTGAAATATACTACCAGAATAAAAAGAAAAGTTTCACCGTGTCAGCAACTTTTGAAATAATTATTTCAATATATATTGGATTCATTGTTCAATGCACTATTAAAATCAATAATTTAATCCATACTGAAATTTTTATTTCAACAGTGAACATTATTACAATAGTAGTTGCAACTTATGTTTGTTATTGAAATGAATCTCACCCACTACTGATATAATTATTTCAATAGTGGTCGTATTTCAATAGTGGTAATTCCCTATGTTTGTTATTGAAATGCATTCTCAACCACTATTGATATAATTATTTCAATAGTGGTTGTATTTCAATAGTGGTTACTATCTATGTTTGTTATTGAAATGCTCCCTCACCCACTATTGAAATAATTATTTCAATAGTGGTCGTATTTCAATAGTGGTAATTCCCTATGTTTGTTATTGAAATGCATTCTCAACCACTATTGATATAATTATTTCAATAGTGGTTACTTACTATGTTTGCTATTGAAATGCACTCTCAACCACTATTGATATAATTATTTCAATAGTGGTCGTTATTTCAATAGTGGTTGCAACATAGCAATCTACAATATGTATCAGCATTTTATATTGGCGAGATAAATATTTTCTTTCTTAGGGAGACAAAAATCTCACAAATTGTGGTAATAACTTTTATCTTTAAAAATTTCATGAAAACCAGAAAGAAAATTTCATAAGCACACTGTCTCGCGTAATTACGCAAAAATAAAGTACCGCAAATTAAAATTGATTTACGTATAGGAATCCTTAAAATTTATGGCTCTCCACCGGCAAGTGGCGTCTCAGTACGAGTGAAAGATTCTCGAGAGGGATTTAAAAAAACAACAATTAGTCAATCATATAGGAATCCTTAGATGGTCAGAAGCGTTAAATGCTAAATTGTCGTGATTTGGAGGTTTCGATGGAAAGTGAAAACTGAAAAGTAAGACTTAGTTCGGAGAAGTACACTTCTGACATTGTGGAATGGTTTATACAATTGTATGTATTAGTTTGGAGCTGACTGTATTATAGATATTATCTTAAAGCTAAAGAGTTGGTCCAGAAGAAAGATAGTAAATCGTTCTCGAAGTATACTCCCCGCCGGACCCTTCCTTCCCTCCTGGTCAGCGCCACTAAATTTTCATTTTTTCGGGAGTCCACCATGTACCAACCACCAACTACCCAGCCGTGTAACCATGGCAGAAAACATAACGATCAGCTGCCCTGGTCCGCGCAGTCTCTTAGATTCCCCAACATACAGACGTCACAGGAATTTGAAAGAAGTGAAACATTTGTTAACGGGATGGATGCGAGGCAGTTAGTTTTAGATGAAATCGATGACTTTGATTCAGTACAACGCCCTACATCGTACAAGAAGGGCCGAATTATTCCCCACCCATCCACCGCTAAACTAATTGCCCTCTCCCGACGCGCTAAACCTGCCATTATACCCGATATGACGACCATATTCCGAATTTACTCTGATCAATACCAACCAGAGTGGATGAAAAAGCCAGCGTTATCGAAAAGTTTTCTGACATTGTCTACAACATCTTCTAAATCAAATTCTGAGTCAACCATTGTCGATGCATGTACTTAATCGCTGAAAGAACATTATAACTGAATGTTGTGAATTTCTGTCAGAAACTGATTTACTTGCTCTTGTTTCTCCTTTTAAATGGATGCTATAATGCATGCAAGATGTTTGAATATGTGACAAACAATGTGTATGCTTCGGTTTTACATTCGTGGTAGCTACAACCCGCAGTATTAATTAACAGTGAAACGAGTGCTAAATGTTTTATTTGTTTACTTGATAAACTATGATTTACAATCAGTCTTTCATTTGTTAATCATGCATATTTGATGAGTGTATTGTCCACATTCAAAGTAAATAAATCCATGTGAACAATCCCATGTTTTGGTAAGTGTAATGGACACCAAACTCCACAGAACAATTAAATTTCCTCTGTCACCACTCAATCCAGGGCCTGGAACAATAAATCTCATTTTAAGCAGCTAATTCCCTCTCTGGGCAGAACATCAAGAACTCTGACTGGATGGTCTACACACATTAAGTCTGGATTCCAAAGATTCTCTCTCTAAATTTTTACCTGCAAAGAAATTTAATATCAAGAGAAGTTTGCTCTCAATACTCCACAGAAGACAAATTTATTAAATCTTATTACCTCTTCATACAAATTATTATGTACTTTTTATCTGGGTCAAATTAGTCCGTGTTTGCTCTGCTCAATTTTTCCATTGTTCATCGAACCTTTGAGCAAGAATACTAGTCTCGTCAAATAGGACGATTTTTAGAAACCTGTTCCTTTTCATAAAACGATGTTTCAATTCTGGAAAACGATTATGTAAACTAATGCTACAAAATAAAAATGGAACTCGTAAATTTACTTACCTGGCCATTGGTCAATTGCAAAATTGTTTAGTTAAAACACATTCTGATTGCACACACAAGTAATCTGAAGTTGACATCAAAGAGATGCTTGAGTTTCTGATTGACAATATCTATGTGGTTTTGGCGACCAGGTATTACAACAATCTATTGGAATTCCCATGGGTACCAATTGCGCTCCGTCATTAGCGGACCTATTTTTATATTCATATGAAGCAGCATTTGTGCAAAATGTTATGCATGAAATGACGAAAATACTTGTTGTGGCCTTCAACTCGACACTTAGATATATCGACGACGTATTGTTTATTAATAATGGTCATTTCCATTCCTACGTCGATACGATATATCCTGGTGAGCTTGAGATAACGGATACCAAAGAGTCTGACACATCTGTTTCATACTTGGATATTTTACTTGAAAAAGACTCTAATAGTAATCTAACAACCAAGTGCGAACTGTATAACTGTAACTAACCCTAATTACGGTTACAATCCCTGTATGACATGCGCTATCCTGTATTGATACCCTGTAACTATCCCTTATTATACCTTGAAGTTTCATTTTTAGTGTAAGATCTTGCAGAAACTAGCAAATACTTCTTTTATTTCTAAGTTTGATACTGCATAATACTATAATCATCCCTTTGTAATTTCCTATCTGTAAATGATAAGATACAATAGTGTGTAGTATCCATACTTCACCTATTAATACAATTCTGTTGATTCTTTTGGCGTCGTCCTCCCAGCTGTTGGTAAAAAATGAATCGTACAATTCGTGAACAGCTTGGACAACCAGTCTTCTATCATCACCGGCCACTGATATCAAACCCTACAACAAAGAATGTATACATACATCGATATGTTCAAAATAATGAATCGTACAACTCGGGAACGACCTGGACAACCAGTCTTCTATCATCACCGGCCACTGATATCAAACCCTACAACAGTGAGTTAAAATTATACATTCCTTGGTATTATCAGCATAAAGAACAGTACAAATCATAAACGGCCTCGAGAACCAGTCTTCTGTCATCCCCAGCCACCGATATCTAACCCTATAACAACGAAATAAAATCCTACATACATCAGTATGATAAAAACAATGAATTGTACAACGTGTGTACAACCTTGGATAGCAAGGCATCGTCTATCATCACTGATATTAAATCATATACAACAAAGAAACATATATTGGCACATGCATTGGGACGATTACAACTTATCAGCGGCCTGAAATCATCACCACTCATTCCTCTCTTATCTACTTTATTACAGAGATCTTATATCATGACATTTAAAGCATAAATAAATTAAAATTAATCGTAATGTAAGAGAAAACAAGATGTGTTTGTGAAACGCTGATCCCCCGTGCGGCAACTTATTCCAAGAGTTGAATTCTCTCAAATGCATGTCAAACTCTAAAGGTACGTCAAAGTCAAAAGGAAAAAAAGTGAAATTTGAAAGACCTATTTCTAACTGTACAAAAATTATGACAAAGATTCAATTTTTTAAAAGGTTGGTCAAACTCTTAGGTCAAGAATAAAAGGTCAAAAATATTTTACCAGTTGAAAGGTCTTGTGACAATGAATGCAGATGTAAAGGATTAAAGCCCTAACTCCAACTGTTCAGAAGTTATGGCCAAGGTTTTAAGTGTAGTTTTTTTTGTAAAAGTAAGTCAAACTCCAAGGTCAAGGTCGAAATGTCAAATTTGGTGTAACCCATGGAAAGGTCTCGACACAAAGAATACATCTGTGAGATACGAAATCCATAGCCCAACCACTCTAAAGGTATGGGCTAGATTACAGTTGACAACAGACTGACAGAGAGACAAACAGACAGCTAGACAAAGAGACAGACAGGGGAAAAAAACAATACACCCACGGGATCTTTCGATCCAGGGGTGCATAAAAAGAATAAAAATTGAAAGTAATGATTGGTTGATTGTGTGTTGTTCAACGATTTCCTCAAGATATTTCACTTATATGGAGATGTCACCTTTTGTTGGTGGAGAGCTGCACACTTTGTTTTTTTTTCCTCGGCACTAAGGACAGCAGTGAGATAGAGGACGGTCTCATCTGAAGGACATGTATCACTGTCCAACAGTGATATGCAAACCCAACATATAAGGATTAATATAAGGATTAATAGCCATTCTCTGTAACCACTTAAACTTCGTTGCCACGCATGGTCACCGATTTTGATGAAACTTCACCCATGCTTAGTACATGACACCAGAAACAAATATCAAACAAAATTTCGTTGCTAAGTGTCTCGGTTGCTATGGCAACAGCTGGAAAAGTTTGAAAAATCGAGATTTTCAGCCACTTTAAATCTTGACTGTGGCTTAATAAAAACTAGAAAAAGCAAACAAACCATTCTCACAAAAACATGACACCTTGATGTTACTTATACTGTAAAGAAACTGTTTAGAATATATCTCTAAGTAAGTGGTAACCAAGGGTACATTTGGAATACATTTAAAATGCTGAAATATGCTGAAAAACACTCCATATTCACTAATGGTAGGTGTTACATGCTCAAATTCAATCAACGACTTAAGAAAAACAATGAAAATGTTTGACCTTAAGTATATAAGTATAAGCAATATTATTCTATAAATAACTTTGATGGTTGCCATGGTAACATAGTGTAACCATGCAAAACCAGTAACTAAGATTGGGTTAATGCTACTGTCTTGAGGAAAAACATGAAAATTTAAGACTGGCAAATATACATCCTTAGGACCTTGCAACACCAAAACCATAAGAAATATTGGGTATAATTGCTACTTTGCAGTGTTACCATGGAAACAAAGTACCAGTGCTTAAAAGTGAATTATCATTCGCTGCATTAAGAATCAAATTGCCATATAATCAAGAAACAAATTAAAGGACTCAGCTTGAATAGTACTTATCTGTTAGAACTGAAGTTGAATATCATATATTGATAAAACTTGACGAAGAAAACAACACTGTTGCTATGGTTACCAAGAAGGGAAAATGTTCGATTTTGTGAACTTTATATCAATATTAAACCCTGTGTGCCAGCTTCTTGCATCCAGTTAGACATTGGATGATAGTCAAAATTAAAAGTCAGGTCAGCTGTTAATAAATATCAATCATAAAAGTTTTGGGAATCTACATTTGAGGGTACGTATCCAAGGTAACAAAATATTTTTCAGATTTTTAAGCATATTTTTTCTGCTTATTTCCATAGCAACGCTCTATTTAAAGAATCCGATCTAATTTTTTTTAAATGGGAAAATAAGGACCACACCAACATCTTTAAAAATTGATCATTAGTTATGAGGAAATAAGCTTTCTTAAAAGATAGGATCAGATTTAAACATACAGAGCGTAAATTTGAAGGCTCTCTGTTCTATAAAAACCTTGGCAACCATTGCCAACCAAACTGAAATATCATAATTTGTTCTTGGTATATGTTTCAAGGCTCTTTTCTCTATTATTTGATCACATTTCATCCTATAATTGCTTTTTATTTTTACGTGTATGAGTTTATAAAATTCAATGAATATTTTTTTTTACTTTTTAATAATTTGTTACCATAGTAACGTATGTAATAGTTGATTTACCAAACCTGTTTATCATGCATTTGAGGCAACAGGCCTTCAACTTTTGGAAACAGTCAATGCCAATTGTTTGCTTTGCCGCAAATGTTAATTATGGGGCTCTAAACATGGTAAAAAATGTCATTTTTTAAACTTTTAGACATGTTGCCATGGTAACTATAACACATAGCAACCAATTTTTGCCTGATTTTAGTTAAGGGTATCAAAGACTTTTATCATAGAGAGTTTGGAGAAATTCTGAGACTATGCGTGCCACAGCTCCTATATAAAATTTCAAGTCATTACAGAGAATGGCTCTTAACTCCTTACATCGGACTCTAGAGCAGACACTCTAACCACTGTACCACAATGCAAGTAATGAAAGACGAGGCCCATGGACCTTATCGCTCACTTGAGCACTGTGAGCTAAGCAAAAAAGCAAAAATCAATCCAGTTATGGAAAGCTTAAAATGCATTTGATCCCGATTTACTTTTTAATGATATTCCATATGTATTTCAATGTAAAACTTTGATCGTCCATTGTGGCCCTAACCTACCCCCGGGAATGATGACTTAAACAAATTTCGGCATGAGTTTCATCTTTCTTGGTCCAG